GTGACGAATTTTGCCCAACATATGGTGCATCTCCTTCGCCCAATCCCTTTCAACCTTTTCTGCCAGCTTCTCTCCTTTTCCGCGTGAAGCTTCCTGATCGGATCTTCCTTGCTCCTTGCACAGTTCCTTTCCGCCATGAGAAGACACACGCTCCTCAGTGTTTGCGCGCAAATCAGAGGCGATCGATTTCCGTTCTAACCTTCCATATTCCTTGCACTGCTCCATTTTTTTTCGCGTGACTTAGATCGGAGCTTTCCCAGGGCAACTGCTCTGATACCAATGATAGGTACAAAGCAAAATCAGGTAGTATATTCACAGTAAACTCAGTCTTACAATGGCAGAAAATAGAAGAAACAGATCGAGACACTTAGAGCAGTCCCCTCTCCCAACGAGACACTTCGAGCAGTCCCCTCTCCCAAGTCTATCCCAATTTCTCCTCCCTCCTTATTCTACTCCCCTCTTATTTATAATAAATTCCCTTATGGGCCGGCCCAAGCTAACTACCACCTAGCCCAAACCCTTATTTATACAATATCACACCCCTTAGTCTAATTCTACTATTATTATTAGTCTTGGAAGTCCATGTCCCTATCAGTATCATGCTATTTTTGTAATTTTTACACCATTGGCCAATGGTGAAGGTGCGGATTCTGCCTTCTCTAATGATAACTAGGGGTGGGACTTTGGAGCCAAGAACTAGAGAACCGTTGGAACCGAACCGTTAAAATCCGGTTCGGTTCCTACACATGAGTTATAAATTGTTAACGGTTCGGTTCGTATTCTTTGTTAACGGTTCGGTTCCTGGTTCCTACAAAAAATATGTCTACGGAATCGTTAAGGAACCGTTATTAAGAAAATAAAAAAAATTGAAAGTATAACTAGTAATAATAATGGTAATAATAATAATAACATTAACAATAACTATAATAATAGTAATAATAATATAATCGATGATATTTAGTCACACAACAATTCAAACTTAATTTATGGAAAAGATGAGGATGAATACATTAACCTTGTTTTGTTACAACGCATATTTTGTTCCATAACGAAAATTTCATAACTATAAAAGTAACCCTAATAAATTCGTGTTGGTTCAATATATTTTTCTTTATAATATTCAAGATGATTGTATATGTGAGATTTAGTATAAATAATGCTCCTAGAATTTGAAATGTAATGAAGTTTATATTTATACTTGCGTATTCAATATGTTTTTTAACATTTTGAAGAACTTGCACTAGATGCCTTATTCAACTATGATGACCCAACTTTTATTGACAACGATTTTCATATTTTATTTACAAACAAAATTAAAAAAAATTCTTTCATTCTACAAAGTGTTGAATAAATTAAGTTTGGACTTGATATTTGAAGTGATAAGAGCTTCAAAAGGTACTTATTCCTTGTGCTTTGAATTTTCGACGTTTTTACGTTGTAGAAAATAAGTTGCATGTGTTAAAATTTTTATGGAAAAAATTATATTAGGAACCGATAAAAGTAAGAACCGAACCGTTTACTATTGGTTCGGTTCCATAACGGTTCTTGAATTTTTAGATGGGAACCGAACCGATTTGATTAGTTAAATATTTTGGAACGGTTCCACTAATTTCATATAGGAACCGAACCGGTCCCAACCCTTTTGATAACCCAGCCTGTCAAAAAATGTCTGATTATGTCCAGGCTGATAACTCGGATTCTGCCCAACAGACTACTGATTATATGCAAAACTAGTGTGGAAACTGGAAATCCAATTACCACACCTGATAATTTAATTGGATACCAAAAGTCCAAGAGTTGTCCTCTATGGTCATATTATGGTACATGGCCCATGGGACAGAGAATTAAAGACTACTGTTTGATTAAAGAGGCTGAGCAGAATCAAGGTTAAGAAATGTTTGGAAGTGGGCGGATGTCATATAATCCTGCAGTCTCATGTCATCATTTGTTACCGTATACTTCCTCATCATCTTCCAAGTAAGCATTTAACTATTTAAGTTAAGTTCACTATTATGTAATGAAGTGTGTGTTAATAAACCATAGATAGGTGAAGTGAAAATGTTATACACCTTAGTTCAAAAGCTTAATACATATAAGTAAATGTCAGCACACATGTACCTTGAGCAATGGGAAGAGTGTGTGATTGTCCACGAATAAACAATAATGTGCAAAGAAACAACCATGAAAAAGGAAACAATAATGAGCAAGGAAACAACAAATAAGCAGTAATAGCTGCAAATCAAGAGCCTTTACAGATTACATGGAAAAAAATCAAGCCAACAAATTTTCAGTTAAACTCTAGACCACTGGTGGCTCAAGGTTGTTTAAGACCATCGAGCTGCAACAGGACTGGAGCCAATACATAGGAGCCAATAGCTAATGATTACATTTGGGAGGAAATAAAGTCAGCTTTTTTCTGATGTTGTGAACCCTGCTCACTTCACACGACTACATTCATAGATGGATCACAGGGAAATGTTACTTTCTCCATCTGTAACTTTATCCTTTGTTTTATCCACACTGGATGTGCCCTAAACTTATTCTGAATCTGTCAGCTTACTCTTTATCCCGACTTCCTTGTAAGTTGTAACGTTTTATACACATTCTGATTCATTTATTATATACTGATATGAATCATGAGGCTTATTATCATCTATCCACCAATACTACTTGCATGGTTGCTTTGTCACCTCTATTTTTACATAGTTGTCTTGGGCTTCCTAGACTTGACAAGTTTCATAATTTTATTAACTTGTCCTGAGTTAAATTAGTGTTAGTTCTATTCAATGTGAGTCGTGTCAATTCCGAAAGCATTTGATAGGGCCCTAGCTGTAGTAAATAATAATACTAGTAATAGAATGATATTAAAAATTGTGGTATTGTATAAATGAGGGTTCTGGGCCATGTAAATCAGGAATTATGGGCCGGCCCTCAAAAATAGTATTACCATAACTCTATAAGCATAGGGAATGAGGGAAGAAGAAGGTTAGGCTGGAATGCTGGAATTCTTTTAGAATTGGGCTGGGAGAGCAAGACCTCTTGAAGAGTCCTAATTATCTGTTTCTTGTCTTTCATAAAATTTCTGCCATTGCAACTCCGCGATCTTCAGCAATATACTACTGATTTCTGCTGCTTTGGTTGAGTCTCTATCATTGAGTCTGAATCGATCATTCCAGAGCTTCAACAAGCTGGAAGGATGGAGGATTTCTGTATGTCACCACGAATGAAGAGTATGGACAGTGTTAAACTTCATTCGAAGGAGATGAGAACGATGATGGGCGAGTCGCTGGATGGGATGTTGATGAGGACAGTCAGGAGCCGTCGACTGTCGGAAACTAAGGGCTCAGCATCGTCATTCATCGCTTTTCCCAGTTCACAGTCGTGAACTCTTTCTCTCAAGTCGAAGCGGTCAGCAACAGCCTTTCTCAGTCCGCAAGCGCCCTCATCTGCTATCAGTTCACGTCTAAGTACGACGCGATCGAGAGGAGAAGTTCCCAGTTCACTGCATTCGTCTCCAGCAGAATATCTTCGTTCGCAGACTTTGTCGCTCGCCTATTCTCACTGTTCACAGGTTTTGTAGCTATCAGATTCTTCAGGTTCGCAGCAGGAGTCTGTTAACCTGCGGCAACCTCCCTCTGAAGACACGTTCATTGATTGTGTTGAGGGAAGAGAGTATAAATCATCAAGGGTCGCTGGACTGGAAGGCGAAGCTGAACTAGATGAAGATGTTGAAAATATACAAGGGGAACTCTGCTTGCTTGTAAGAATCGTTAAGACTTCTATCTCCTCACTTGGGCTAATATTCTAATAAAGCTGGACGCAGATCAAGTCATGGAAGCAAAGAGGTTTCAGGAATCCTTCAGTAATGGGCTTTTTGGAAAGGCGAAATTGACACCAATAATCTCTACTTTTAGGCATTTTACAAAAATAATCTCTACTGAAAAAGTTCACAACAATAATCCCAACCGGATAATTGTTTCACAAAAATAAACCAGAACTTAACGGCGTTAACTTTTCCATTTTTTAAAAAAATTTAAAATAAAATGAAGCAAATATATATAAAAACATTAATAATATTATGTTTTTGTTTAGTCTTATTTCTACTATAAATTAAATTTAATAATAACTATTTTTTGTAAAATGTAATAAAAATATTTGAACACAGACTTGTATTCATTTTAGTACGTAGTTATGTTTAATATAAAATTACTAAAATTACTTTTAAATCTCTATTACAATGAAATAAAAATGAATATAAATAAAATATTGATTAGAACTAAAAGAAAAATGAGAATTTGATGAGTATGTTTATAAATATTTCTATTACATTTTATGAAAAATAATGACTATTAAATTTAATTCATAATGAAATTAAATATAAGGACAAATATATTAAGTATATAATATTCTTGATTTTTGTACATATTTTCACTTCATTATATTTAAAACGCAAAAAAACTAACGGAAAAGTTAACACCGTTAACTCCGGTTTATTTCTATAAAAGAGTTAAGTAGTTCGGATTATTGTTGCAAACTTTTTTGGTAGGGATTATTTTTGTAAAATGCATAAACGTAGGGATTATTTATGTCAATTTCGCCTTTTGGAAAAGGGTTTATGTGTGCATCAGGTGAAAGGAAGCTCATATTTAACATGGAGGAGTCTCTTTGGGAGAAATCATATAAGTATTTACTCTTGCCCCTTGTACATTGATTGGACAGGAATTCATCCTCTGTTTCTGCTGTGGAATATCTGAATAAAAATGCTTGGCTTAATGCTGAGTTGCCTGAAGCTAACAGGCTGATGTGCTTACTAAAGTCTCTTAAAGGACCCATAATGAATACATTTGTAACAACCAACAAGCTTAGAGCATGTCATACTTTTAACGATAAGAATTAACAACAACAATAACTGAACATTAAAGATCCTGCTTCAAAAGGGATAGAAGACTGTCACTGATTCACTTAGAGCTCTCAAGAACTGAGTTATAATTGAAAGTTACCTCCAATGACTTGTCTTGTGGGTCGCTTTGTGCTCTTGAAACCTGCATTCATAATATGCAAGTCATCCAACATGTCCCTATTGGCCGGTCACGGCCATTAACATCTGACTTAAATAGGGTTTCTTTCTAAGATATGGCAGTTTTAAAACTCACATTACTCTGCTCTGATGAACTCACTGCTCCACTTTCAGATAGTGAAGCCCTTGGTGAGGATCCTTCTTCAGAACCCTCGCGCACAGGCGATGGAGGTTGAGGAGGTGTGGCATACACTACTCTCAACTTACATTCATCAACATGGTTCCCTGACTCCTTGTTGAACTAAACCAAACAACACAAGTGAGCACTAGTGCTCAAAGACCAATCAAATGATTAACCATGTACAAATAACTACAGTAAGAAATCACCATTTCTGGAATAATATCCTTCGCCATGGTGTCAGGACTCACAACCACACTTTGAAGCAAGAACTTATCCTTGCACTGCATGTCTGTTGGGGCCTCCTTTTGTGCTTGCATTGTAACTGAACCATATTATTCTACATTTAATAATAATATCCTGAACAAGGAGAAGTGCAAACTCGGACACACATGAAAGATAGGTGCAGGGGTTGGGGGTCAACAGAGACCTATGACATCACAAGCAGCGAGCGGAGTCAAAATTCCAGTGTTTGGCCTCACACAATACTTCTTAGGGTTTGTTGTTTTCACCTAATTATGGGAAATAGCAAATAATAAACCAACAGTCCGCATAATAATATTCTCAGGAATATTTTCATCGGAAATGGAAAGGAAGCTATAGAAGGACACATAAGAAGATTCAGAAAGTAATACCTTGAAAGCGACATGGTTATCCGTTTTGTTTGTCAAATGCATAGAACATGAGATCTGCTTCTTCAATTCGACTTTCACAACCACAAGGGATGAAAAATATGAGGAAAAAGAAGATGCGAACTATGGATCTAAAATCTCTGTAAAATGGAAGGACCATAAAGACTTACAAAGCAATAGCTTGGGGTGGAGGGGTGAGAGAGAGAGAAATTACATGGAAATTGCAGGTCAACGGGTTCAATGCGGAGCAGCTCTCCGTTACTCATTCCGGCTACGCTATATGTAAATATCCGGCGGAGATTCCGTTCAAGACACCTTCCAGCCAGAGAGCACCAGTTGCCGGTAACGGGATCGAGCCGGAAGCAGTTTAACGGTAAGTGTAGATCTAGATTTCTAATCCTTTGGGACTGCGATTTAAGAGAGAAAAAATGATGGGGTGGGAGGATTAATTCTTTGACTTATGTTTTCAAGGGGAAAAAACTGAAAAAAGAAATACGGAGTAACGCGAAAAAATATTACAGGAAAATTGGAGAAATAAAAACAAAAAAAATGTATTTATCAAATCATTTTCGAAAACCAAAAAATGAAATAGGTCTCTTTTTTCCATAATAATTGAATAAGTGAATTTTACTAGTTTTTCAAATTTGAAATATTTAGATGTTGCAGTGTTGTTGTAATGAATTTGCACACTTACGCGAGTGGTGGACTTGATCCTCCTCCGGCCTCAGTTTCGATCTGGTCCTGTCATGAACGATGACCTGGCGGTCCCTGTATGGACCGGTCAACGACCCGACAGTCGAGTGCGGTCAACGATTCGACAGTCCTTAACTGATTCGGTCGATGACTTGACAGTCCCTGTTCGATTCGGTGAACAACTTGACAGGCCGGTCCGGTCAACGATCGGGTGGTCCCTGTCTGGTTGGTCGACGATCTGGTCTGGTCAATGACCCGACGGTGCATGTCCGGTCCGATCAACGACCCGGCAGTACATGTCTCGCCCGCTCAACAGCTGGGGAGTCTCGGTCTAGTCAATGACCTAATGGTCCTAGTTTGTTCCAGTTAACGATCTGACGGTCCATGTTTGGCCTGATCAATGACCCGACAGTCCTTGTCCGATCCGGTCGATGATCTGGCGATCCCTGTTCGATCTGATCGATGACCGGTCAGTCCCAGATCAGTCTAATCAATAGCCCGCGTGGTCCTTGTCCGCTCCGCTCGATGACCCAGTGGTTTGGTCCCCAGCTTTTTAATCATTTTCAAAGTGGAGAATTTCAAAAGAGCCATTGAAGTGAGAATTGATCAAACCGACCATTGGGACCGATCAGGACCGGCCAGTTTCAAATCCAACTTCCTATGCCCTACTTGGGTTGTAGTGTTGTACTAGGTTCGGTTCCGAAACAAGACCATACTTTCGGCCAGTCATTGAACCAGTTGAAAAAATTTTGTGAACATGTTTTCATATTTGAAAATGGAAAACTAGAAAATGGAAATGGAAAATTGGAGAAATGAAAATTAGAAAATTAAAACAGAAAATTGGAGAACGGAAAACAAAAGGAGAAAATCTGGAAAATATCTTTGTTGGTAAATGGGTCCTTTCTTTCTCAAATGTTCTCACTTTCTTTTTTTTGGCACATCCCATTTAAATGTTTTTATTTCTATGTTTGAAAAAAATAATACTTTTAAATGATAATTTAATAATCAAATAGTAAATATAATACATCTACAACATTACAATTATCACCAATGAACATATTATACAATACATCTACAACATTACAATATGAATATAACCAGATTTCTCACGATAGGATTAGAACACATGAAAAGTGAAAATATAAGATTATTAGTTTTCCGTATAATATGATAGGACTAGAGTTGCGATGGAATGACGAAATCGTCAAAATACTTATGGGGGGTCTCAAGTTCAACTCTCAATGGAGTGAGATTGATCCCAGTTTACTCCAAGCCCCCCAAAAAACCCCTCCCCCTGATGCCCCCGGGGGAAAAAACTTAATTCTTTGACTTTGACTCGAACTTCTGTTTTAAAGCAAAATAACTTATTAAAATATATATCCAATCAAAAGTTACAATTATCCGATAACTCCAAATCTAGTATCGATGATTTTAAAAAATCATCTAGACTTAATGAACGTCCTACAACCAAACTTTGAGACAGTCACCTCCAAATAAGCAGTGCTAATCGCTGACTGCCTAAGAGACAACATAGACTTCTTGCCAACATTGATGTATTCTTCGCTACTTCACTATATTCATAATAGCCAAATGATCTCCTCAATCTCTAAGAGCATCTTCAATGCTAAAACGTTAACAGTGCATATGTGGCATGAGAAATAACCAATTAAAAAATAACAAATAAAACATCTCTCTCCTTATTCAAAGGGTCTTACATCATTTTGGTAAGTTTTCCTTCACAATGTCAAACACAATGTCTAGATGTAGACATTGTGATTGACATTGCAGACACAAACTTACCAAAAACACATATGACCGTGAAAAGAATGAGAGAGGAACGTCTTAAAATCAATATTTTGTGTCTATCTCTCTCATGCCACATGTGCAATGTGCACATTGTAGCATTGGAGATGCTCTAATCATGCATGAAAATTACCCAAAACTGAGCAAAAGTTTTCGGCATACGAGAGCTTGGAGCAATTAACAGTTTTAGAATTATCAAAATGTGAAAACAAAAAAATTATTGATTAATCTTATAAAAAATCATACGGAGTATATAAATGAAAACTAATGTAATAATAATAATAAGATAAATGTGTAAGTTCAAATATAGATATGTAACTTTAACACGTTAAAATAAAATAAAAATAAAATAAAGAAAAAATAAAGTTAAAGTCTAAAAAATACTCCATGTGTTTCATAAATTTATTCTTGGTTTGACTTGGATCAGAGTTTGCGAAAATGAAAATAAAGTGAAAATGTATGATTATGGTTAAGTAAGAAAAAAAGTAAACACAGAGTAAATTTAGTCACACAAAACTTTTCAAAATGGGAAATGAAAAGAATTTTTTCAGACATTTCAAAATGGTAAGTTGGAAGAATTTTATGGGACGGAGAGAGACTAAAACTAAAATGCACTACCCCGCCGCACTAACACTGGAACATGAAAAGGTGGTGATGTTATAAAGAAAAATGATATCATGTGGTTGATATTGAATTGATTAAGTAAGAATAAAGTAAGAATGATTTAGAACTAAACAAACTGCACCAAATTTGGTATGGTACAATATTAGTGGGATGAACCCAAAAAGAAAGATGAGACAATCTTAACGGAACATGAGTGATAACTTTTAAAAAGATGTAAAATATACAAATAATTCCAAAAATGTTAAATATAGATTTTGAGTTTCATTGTTTATTTCTTCTTGTTTGAGTTTTATTTAATTTTTAAAAAATTTTAATATAAAAAATTTGCTAGTACATATCAAAACCCATTAAAAGGCCATATTGAGTTACTGACCACTTTTTTAAAGTCAATGTACTTATATGATACTTTAAGTATGGGGATTTAAATGATAGATTTAAAATAGTAGAAGCCTCTATTTAACCCTTTTTCTTTAAAAATTTTAATAATTACATATTTATGTGCAACTATTATACTAGCCATGACACTATATACTATAATAACATTTAGCCCAATTTTGTAAATAAGTTTTACTTTAGTAATTTTGTTTAAAAAACTCTAAAACTAAAGTTTTATGGTTGTCATTGGTTTTCAATGAATGGATGAATGGATCGGATGTTCGTTGCCTGCGAAGAATATCGGTGACAATGACCGATGGCTCTGCTACATGGCTATGTAAGCTCTTCCACCTCTTCTTCTTCTTCAAAATGTCATGAAGATGTCATTTGTGTAAATAGAAAATATGACAGACGCTCCTTTCCATCTTTAAATTTCACTTTTTTTATAAATGTCATGTTTGTACTAAAAATGTCATAAGAATGTCATTATCACTTTTTGAAAATATCAAATGTTACTCTCAAAATGTAATTAAGATGTAAAGTAAAATTGTCATCTTGATAAATGTAATGTCATAAAAGTGACATTATTTTCAAATTGGGGTTCAATAAAACAACTAAAAAGGCATTTTTAGGTTCTTTCTTTTTGTGCGAACAAAGGACAATAACTTCATTGAAGGTGCTGAGGGAGCATTACTATCTAAAGTCTAAACCTAAAGAAATAACAACTAAACTAAATAAATTCCATCGTCTACACAACTTTTGATGTAATGAGCTTAAACCATTGACTTTGAGGTTTGTCAAGTCACCCTCTTCCAAACCAACACACTTCCTTGTCAGAAGCATGGAGGTAAAAATAAGATGAATTGAAATCCAAGCATAACTCCAAACCATTGTCATCCTTGCTCTTCAACTAGAACATTGAATCAGAAGCAACCAACCTCCACTTATTAGTACTTTGATTCTTGTCATCATCTTTGCAACTGTGGGAGAGAGTGACCGGGATATCTTGCCCTGCCATCATCATGGATTTGGAAGATTCGATCATCTTTACTGACGTCTCGTTTACCTCGTGGATCCACTGGCTTGACCCTAAGCAATTACTCATCTAGATTTGATCCCCAATCACTCGTGCACGTTGCTCACTCAATGGATGGCATAGTAACTAATATGTTGGCTTGCTTGACTTTGGATCTGGGAGTTTATGTTGCAAAAACTGAAATTTCAAGAGGACTTCGGGATTTCTAACCGTAGTCCAATTGGTATTAAACATGCCATAACTTTCATCATGCCCATATTGACCATCCCTTAGGTAATGGCTTCCTTGGAGAGTCCAACCACTCCATTCCAAATAAGAAAGCATGCAAGGAAATTGAAGGTTGTTTGTGGCCACCCCAATTACTATATCCCATTTGACTTATACTAAACTCACTCACAAATAGAGGGGTAACATTAATATTGTTGTGATTGCTTCTTCCTCTCCTAACTAAGAAGGCAAGAACAACTCTTTCTCATCAATTCCTTTAGTCAGATTGAGGCAAACCTTGTTCAAAGGTCCACTCAACCATGCCTTTGATTTCCCTTCAATGAATGTATATCCATGAGTCCCAAAGCCCTTTTCTTCAAGAAAGTGAAGTCCAAATCGTAGTCCAAGCTGAGAAGATGAAAAAAGATCAGAGTTTGCGTTGTTGATTATTTTAGCACCCTTCTTTACGTTGACTACGTACTTATACCATATGTCCATGTTCAGTAATGGCCCATGTAGCTCATTGTGCATCCTTATCACTGCAACCATGGGTGAATTCTTGGAGTGCTTAGCTGCAAGACCAAGTCCTTGTAACCATTCACCAGAGTCAAAATCTTTATTGCCAAAAAACCCATTTCCATCATTGTCAGCACAACACCACACTGGCTTACTAACATGGTTATCCAAGGCCATCATGATTCCATATTTCCCAATTTTCCGATTCACGGCCT